TTACAGTCTAATGCTATGTGAACCAGCCAAAATAAAACAGCCATAATATCCAGACATGACTTGATGGAAGAGCTAAACATTTGTCTGCTGCAACATGAACTGATAAGATAAAAAGTACTTTGGTTTTAGGCAGATACCGATTTAGTAATAGTCTTTAGAAACTAGCCAGGTGATTTAGCCTGAAGGAGCAAGGATTTTTTGCTTAGTGGAGCCCTGTAATTAAGTCAGAAGACAGAGACTCAAGTCACTGCTCGTATCATTGACTGGTGATGCAGTCCATTTACATTCTGTGAGCTTCAGCTTTCTGAGTTCTGCCTGTTACATCGGGCTGTCATGAAGAACATTTGAGTTAATTAAATGAAAATGCTTTGTAAATAAGAGCTCTTGCAGTGTTACATACTAGCATTATTTCCTTGAAATGGTTGAGGGAATGGGATAGTCCGTTGAAATAGTATTTTTATCTAAAGACTATTCATATGATACCTATAATACATTTGTTGCTGTTTACCTAAGATCATTATATTCGGCAGGGAGCAGTGTTTCAGAATCACTTTTCTGGTTCAGATAGCAACACAAGATGAAAATGGTTAATGTGGGAAGTGTCTTTATGTAGTTTATCCAGTAGGTGGAGGTATATAACTTATGTATTCCTTAGTGTGTGTTCACTTTCTCTCTTCTGAAAGAAAAATTATGAAAAGTACACAGTAAAGCATTTCCTCTAAGATAGTGTATGTTCACTTATGCTTTACTTTGAAAAGAAAATTAATATATTTAAATAGTTGGTAATTACACTAGAATTACTGATTTATTAATGGAATTAAACTGACTCATTGAAATTAAAGCCCTCTTCCCAAATTGCCAAGTTAACATTTTTGTTATGTTTGAATCATCTTAAAATCATTTTCGTATTCAATGTTTTTTTAAGTTTTTGATGAAGAATGTGCAGTTTCTTAATAGTTTGTCCAAATTATGATTCATTTATCTTGTGAGAAATTAATTCTTACTGTCATACCTTACAGATCTCATTTAAGGCCCAGAGCAAAAAAAAAATAAAAACATGTTTCAGTGGAACAATTTAGCCCTGACCTCTGCTGATGTAAAGTACCATTTTTTTGTTGTTTTTTAAAGATATTTCAAGGAAACAAAGATTATCACCAGGATGTGCGTAATAACTTTTTGCCACCAATTATTGCACGTTTTATTAGAGTGAATCCTACCCAATGGCAGCAGAAAATTGCCATGAAAATGGAACTTCTTGGATGTCAGTTTATTCCTAAAGGTAAAGTGATAGTATGTTTTAAGATAGGTTATTTTTACTGGATTCATTTAAAATGGCTTTGCTGTTCTCAGAGAAAATAAGAAATGACAATGTGAGTGTTTAGCTTTTAATTATAATATCTTCTTAAAGAAATTTTACAAAGAAATAATTATTCTATTAAAAACTTAGTTATCAGAATGGTTTCAAAGGCTACAGGTGGAAGAAGAGAGAATATCATCGATGAGATAATATCATGCGATTTTTTTCAGGCATAGTCTCAATCTTAATTTTTAATCAGGACTCATGTAGCATAATATACTGTATCACAAACACTGATGATTATAACAGTAAGCTTAGTCCAAGTGCCTTTTCCTCTGAATAAATTAGAAGCGGAAACAACTTCCCTGCTATTACATAATATTTTAATACTTTGTTTCCTATTGTATCTCCAAAACCTACCCGAATGCCCCCACGCAGTGGGCCCTCAAATGTTTCTTAAGTGACTTGAATGAGTAGTGTGTCAGACTGTGATGATAATTCTGTAGCTTTAAACATTATTCACCGCCTCCGTTTTCTCCTCGCTAAGGAAATTATTTTAAGAGAATATAATTATCTCAAAAAGTGAGAAATCCTAGTAAGTTTGTACATTTAATGCATAGTATATTTATCCTTCTGACATATTGCTCTCCAAGATTTAAAATCGCTGAGCAGAAATAACTACCCTAGGGAACGTTGAAGACATTTAAATGACCGTTTTTAACTATGACTTTCATAAGCAAAATATCTCAACTTTTCTAAACCGTTTTTCAAGGTCGTCCTCCAAAACTTACTCAAACTCCACCTCCTCGAAACAGCAATGACCTCAGAAACACCACAACCCCTCCAAAAATAGCCAAAGGTATGCCTGCTTCTTGTGTGAGAATGCGGTGGTCCCTGGATTGTGGTATAATTTTCCAAAAACATATTAAAAGCATTGTAAAAGAACTTTGTTTTAATCAAGCTGTTGTAGACAAAAGAATAAAGAGTATTTGAAACTTTTTTCAAGGTCGAGCCCCCAAATTTACTCAGCCACTACAGCCTCGTAGTAGCAATGAGTTTCCTGCACAGACGAAGCAAACAACTGCCACTCCTGATATCCGAAACACCACCATGACTCCGAACGTAACCAAAGGTACCAGGCCCCCACATTAGCACCCGTTACGTGGTCGCGTTTTATTTTGCTTGTAATTTCAATTTTCAGAAACACGTCTGGCTTTCAGAAACACCCTCAGCTTCTTTTCCTCTTAACTGTGTTTTTTAAGAAGAGCCAAAAATGTTTACTCCTTACCTTAGAGAAGAGACTGATTGCATCGCTCTGATTTCTCTTCTCCAGTGCCATGTAAAATTGTTCTTTAAATATTTAGAGATGGCTGCTATATTCTGGGTCTTCTCTTGTGATTTTTTTCCCCACCACAGCCAAACACAAGTAGTCTCTATTTATAAAAATAACTAACGGGGCGCCTGGGTGGCTCAGTCAGTTAAGCGGCCGACTTCGGCTCAGGTCGTGATCTCACGGTCCGTGAGTTCGAGCCCCGCGTCGGGCTCTGTGCTGACAGCTCAGAGCCTGGAGCCCGTTTCAGATTCTGTGTCTCCCTCTCTCTGACCCTCCCCCATTCATGCTCTCTCTCTGTCTCAAAAATAAATAAACATTAAAAAAAAAAAAAAAAAAACTAAAACCATTGCAGGAAACAAACGTTTTTTCTTATATATATTAAGAAAATATATATAATTTTCGTTATATATTAATTTGTTGAAGAGAAAATTTGGTGGCAAAAAGGGAAGGGGGGGTGAAAAATAAGTTTTGGTGAAAACTAACACTTTTTAAAAAGTACTGTGAGTTAACATGTTCATTAAAAAACTTTGGTCTCTATTTTAAAAATGTTTACCATCAGTTTTTTCCGGTTATAAATATAAATGTAGTAGGATTTACTTTCAGGTTTTATGAATGATAAATAAGGTATTAACACGTATGAAACATAGTACTTTGATTTTACTAGTTGTTGAAAAACAAAATTTCAGTTGGACTCAGAAAAAACCATCAGTGTCAGAGGAATTAATTTCCGTGTTGGCAGATAAAGCATTTTCAGGACCATGCAGAGACGAGGAAGTAATTCATTCCAACTAACTTGTGCCACACAGAACTTTATTCATTCTCTGAAAATTTGCCCGATGCAGATAACTTTCTCCCAGCTTTCCACATGTCACTTTCTTTCACTTCTTCTAAGGTATTTTCTAAACAGACCATTTTCTTTCTCATGCTGCTGAAGAGAAGCAAGACTTCTTAGAGATGAGATCTCAGTGTCCCACAAAGCTTCTCACCAGTCTGCAGAAGAAATCTGTTTGGGCAGAATTCCAGGCCACATGCCTGGATGGAAGAACAGCCATTTAAAGTATTGCTCGTCTTAAAATCTGATTATAGAATCTTAAAATCTCAAGACTAAAAGTATCCTTAAAGCATTTTCTTCCAGAGCTAGGATTCTTCAAAAGAATAAAAGAATGTAGAGGTCTTTCCAGTTAAAGATTCCTTGTCTCCTTTTCTGTGGGGTGGTACTGTGTAGATGTTTTATTATTTTGTGAACCTAAGCAGATTTTTTAAACCTCTGATGAAATCGACCTGTATCCACCTGAACCTGATGGTTCTCTCTCCAGTTATACATTTTTAGGGATAAAGCACATTTATTTTTCTGAATTCTTAGTGCTTTCTAGCCTGAGTGATGATGCCTGTTTTATGCACTTCTTTTCCATTTTTACATCCAGGCTGAGAGTGATGCTGGAGAAAATCATATCATGGTCAGATTTGTGCCTCTGTGTCTTCCTGAATCCTCCCTCCAGGGGGCCCTCAGCACCAGCCCATGGTCATTTTGTTTCTCTGGTTAGCTCTTTCTGTTCTCAACAGTCGCTTTTCCATATTTTTCAAACCCTTGACCCAGAGATTCTTTAGTTACTCTCAGTTACCTCTTCAACTTTATGAAGAAAGTAGAAGCAATTAGAAGGACACTCCCAATCTGTGGAGCCTGCAAACTCACCTGTACCCTCTTTCCACTGCGTTGAAGAACGGAGTTCCTAGTCCTGCCCAGGGCTGATCCACCTCTGCCCGTGTTCCTATCCACCCAGCCATCAGAGGCCTCAGGTTATGCGTTATCCTCTCCTGCTCCTGTATCAGCAGCCTCTTTTTCTCTTTTGGCTATATTTATAAGGGTACAATAGATGCTGTGGGTCAGGCCCAACACAGTGTCTGGTGCTTAGCCCCCAGCAGGCATCAGCAGTTGCCGGGACAGGGTTGCCAGATTAGGGAAGAAACTGATGGCTCAAATGACCTGAGGTGGACCATTTTCTGTATCTGGGCCCAGACTTCCTTATCTGTGGAGGGAGATAAGGGGATTAAATGATCTCCTGGTCCCTGCAGGCTCAAGCATTGTCACTTTCTGCCCTGTTGATGCACATTGGCTTTTTTTATACTTAACACTACGTTGTTGCTTTCCCCTGTCTATAAATATTTTCCCCATCATGTTGCAATATCATTTCCAATTGCTGGATAATATTTTACTATGAGGACACCGTGATGTATTTATTCCCTTTCATTGTTGAGCATTTGGATTATTTCCAGTTTTTCATTCTTTTGCAGATACAGAAACAGACCATCTTAAAAATGCATCTTTGAATGTTGTCTTAATTTTTTTTCTAAGAATAAATTCTAGACATGGAATTGCTAAGTAATTGATTTTTATACGTATTGCCCCAAAATGATACAGAAAGTATCAATTTAAAGTCCTATAAAAATAACTGTTTCCTAGTAACTTTTCCTAGCAATTGTTATAAATGTTTGCCAATTCGATAAACAGAAATGGCATCTCATTCTTGCTTTAACTTCTGTTTCTGTGATTACTAGTAATGCTAACATGTTGAATGGCCACTTGTGTTTTTTCATTGTATTGCTCAATCATCTCTGATTTTTCTATTGTTTGTTTTTGACTTGGATGTTCTGTAATATATAAATGATAGTAATCCTTTACCACATATTCAGAAAGATATTTTCTGAGTTTTTTATTTGCCTTTCAGTTTGTCTTGGTGATTTAAAAAGTCACAATGAAAAATTTTAAGCGTGTACAAAGGTGAAGCAAATAGTGTGAGAGACTTCCACGTGTCTGTGAAGGCTTCTGCCATTACCAACACTTGCCCGGCCTCATTTCATAAATATTGTGAACGGTAGCTTTTGAGACACAAAAGCTTTGAGGGATGACCTGGGGAACCTTCCCGCTTTCCCTTCCCGAGTCTGCCTTTGATGTGTTTGCAGATGTCGCCTTGGCTGCGGTCCTGGTGCCGGTGCTCGTCATGGTGCTCAGCACCCTTATCCTCACGGTGGTGTGTGCCTGGCATTGGAGGAGCAGGTCAGTACGTAGCTAGCTCCCCTGACGGGGCCTTGGAGGGTTGTTTCCAAATGTGAAGTATACACTAAATCTAGAAGATAAACTACCATTCACCTTTTTGAGAAGGAAAGGTAAGGTAGTTATTAAAGTAAAAATACATTTGTTTCTCCTTTTCATAAAACAAGAGTATGTTCAATTGCACATTTACTGCGCATCTTTATTATAGCAAAATCTGCTTTACATGCTGGAATATACACATGAGTAAGAACAGCCTGACACACAGTAGGTGCTTAGTAATATCTCCTGAAAGAAAGAGACACCGTTCCTGTGTCCTGGGTGTTAGGCAGGGCTAACTCACAGAATAAAGAACTGGCACATGCCTTGAGGAGTTATTATGAAGGGCCGGAGACACAGGTGTGAGAACCGTGAGAGCTACCTGAAGTCTTCGCTGCGGGGAAGAGTGAGCCTCAAGTTTGTTTTGCCGTAAAGAGACCGCTGGATGTGCCCAGATGGAGGAAGGTAGGGAACAGGCCAGACTGTGTGCTTGAGCGAAGGCACAGAGTTGTGGAGTCCAGGCGGGATAGCCAGTCCTCACGTGCAGGCTTGGCACGGGAGAGCACCGAGGAGGAACTGTGGAGGTGCGGCCTGGGCCTGGATTGGGGATGGGAGCTTCGGGGAGACAAATTCAGGTCTCAGTCTGTGGATGAGGATGTCATCGAGGAGGGTGAAGCACATAGGTGAGATTATCAGATGATGCGCGACTGGCTGCCACAGAAGGAGGAGGGACTCGGGATGATCCGAGGTTTCAGGCTTGTGCACTTGGACCAGTAGGGATGTCATGAGTGGAGAGGACAGGAGGGACAGGTTTGGTGGAGCAAGAGAATGACTTCATTTGTTCGTCAAGCAAATATTTGAGCTCTTGCCGTGTGCTAAGTATTGACCGCTGGGAGTTGAGTGGTGAGCCCCAGAGTTTACAGGACGGAGAAGATAACGATGCAGAAACGGTCAGCGATAGTACTGACCACACAGCGTATGCCATGGGAGGAAGTTGAAGAAGCAAGTGGTCCTGGACTCATGGTTTTAAGAAGGCTGTCTGAGCAGAGACCCAACAAGTTATGAGGGAATCAGGGAAAGGAAGAACAAGGGCTTTAGGAAAGTCCAGGGAAGAAAGTTCACAGTGCTCTTAGGGAACTGGACAGAAGCAACAGTAACAGTGAGAACAGCAGCAACAGCTAGCTTTTATAGAAAATTAAAGCTGGTTTTAGGCATTATTTTAAGTGCTTTATGTGTTTTAACTCCTTAATCCTCAGAACGACCAATGAAGCAGGTACTGTTATAAATCCCATTTTACAGAAGAAGAAAGTGAGACAGAGCATGAATAACTTGTCCGAGGTCACCCGGTGCATATGCAGCAGAGCGGAGTTTGGGCCCTGACAGCACAGAGCCCACACGCTGAACCACCTCTGCCCCTGGACGTATTATCAGGCAGTCAATTCCCGTCCCCAAGGGTTAAAGCACAGAGGGTAAGGATTGGGAGTCAGGTTTTTGGGGAGGCGGCAGTCAAGTCCTGAGATCAGCGGGCACATAAGGACCCTATGGATGTTCAGATTCTCAAGAGACAGATGCTTGTTCAGGACCAAAGGTGTGAGCTACAGAACTGAAGTTATTTCTAAGAGTGTGGTTGAAATTGCTAATGACTGACTTCATGAGGAGTAAGAGATGCATGAAGGGGATGTGGAAAATAGCCAGGAGGAGAATAATAATAAACTCAGCTGCAACCTACTGAACCCTTAACTCATGGTAAGCACCCCTGTTCTAAGCACTTAACATGTAATAAATAACCTGAGGCTTTGCCACTTTAGATTATTATAAAATCTTTTCTAGCACAACCTTTGCCTAGTAATCAGACTTAATTTGTTGTCTTAGCTATATAAGGTATCTGACTTCCATTTAGAAAAGATTATTGGTTTCCTTTTACTTTTTAGTCTTAGGATAATTACAGGATTTTCAAGAAGAAAACTAATTATTAAGCCAGCCCTTTATTGTTTACTTTGCACTTCAGTTTTTAATTAACAGCTGTAGTGCCTACCACCTCTTCCACAAATTTTACATTATATTTTTAAAAAATGACATGTTTTAAATAATAGCCAGACTTTAAAGTGAGAAAGATTTTAACATCTCTAATACAAATAAAGTCTTATCCTGGAGAAGAATGTTTTCAAGTAAGAAAAGCACACAGCTTGGGCTCTTTGAGAAAGCCACATTTGTGTCTTGAGCAAATCACATAACTGTCTTGTCCTCATACACTAGAATAATTTCTGCATTTTCTTTAGCTTGCAGCGTGTTAATTTTAATTAGATTTACATTCTTGAATCAGAACACTTCCTTTTAAGGCTCTTTGTAGATAGTAATTTTTTTTTTTTAAACATTTATTCATTTTTGAGAGAGCGAGACCGAGCATGAGCAGGGAAGGGGCAGAGGGAGAGGGAGACAAGAATCCAAAGCAGGCTCCAGGCTCTGAGCTGTCAGCACAGAGCCGGATGCGGGGCTTGAACTCACGAACCACAAGATCGTGACCTGAGCCAAAGTCGGGACGCTCAACCAACTGAGCCACCCAGGCACCCCTGTAGATAGTAATTCTTAACGGGGAGGAGGGAGATTTCTCCTGGGGAAGATATGTCTGAATTCTGAAGGGTGGACTAGGGAGAATCTTCATTGCACGTGCGGCTTTTGCCCCCCAGGCATGGAGCATCCTGTTCTCCCTCTGGCACTTACCACTGTTTAAGATAGCACTGACATAAACTGGGATGCTTATATAGGACACTATAAACTTCTTGGGAACAAAGGACCACGGAAGGAAAACAGATAGTTGGAAAAAATAACAATGCAGAAGCAAATGTGGGGATGTTTCTTTCTATGAACTTTGTGAATCAGTTGATTTATAAAAGTTTGTATTGGAAACCAAAATACACCTAACGTAATTTTCCCATAACAACCCACATCATCCCGAAGTCTTTAGTTTGACTCTTATCATCTGCGGACTCAGCTTTTCCATTTCATTCACCCCTTGAGTGGGAAATACCTTGGGTAACAAAATAACTATCTCAGGAGATAGTTGTTTAAAATTTATTGAGAGTCCAGTTTATGAGCCAGCAGTGGCGACTTTGAAAGGCAAATGAAATAGAGGATTCCCCCAGGTAGATTAGTAAATGGAAACATATACTCCTAATTATTAACTTTAGTATTTATCCTGCAGATTCAGAGCTGTCTTACTAGTGACTTCACTCTATTTGCTAACATGTTGTCTCTGTATTTTTCCAGAAAGAAAAAAACGGAAGGCACCTATGACTTACCTTACTGGGATCGGGCAGGTAACTCAGACTTTGCATCTCCTTCCATCAAGGAACTCCCACCTCCCTAGGTGGCAGTAGTAAAAGAGGAAAGTTCTTTTCAGGCCCACATAAACTCCCCAGCACTTGTTAGAAAAATGGTGTTCCTCTAACATTCTGATCATTTTTACTTTTCTGTGCAATCTCTTGTAGTCAATAAGTAACAGAATGAAAAGTAAGAATTTCCCGTAGCATGCACTCTCTTCCTTTTTTCTGGACAACCTGATTTGCCCCATGTGTCTGTTTTTTTGAGGAGACCAGCTTTCTTTGGGGCCTGTGTGAACACTGTATGAAAGACTGGTTTTGGTAACATGGTGTGTGTTTGTCCCTCTGCTGTGGGTATTTCCCAGGCGGAGTCTCGCGGTTTCAGAATCGTGAGGTCTGCCATCTCTGCCATGATGAGCTGCCATTTTCTTAATTCCTTCTGTGTGTGGCAGATTGCTGGAGGTGACATCAGAGGTCCCCTAAGGCTCTCCCCCCTTTCCAGTCTCACTATGGGAACAACTGTTAGAAGCCAAAAGAGTTCACTGCTGTGACTAAGGTAGAAAAGAGCAGTGGTAGGGGCAGATCCTGTGTTGCTAACATCCCAAGGCAGATCTTGGGAAGTATTTTTTCAGAAAAACTTACCAAAAAACCACCCTACAACAGGCACATTATATCTGGCTGCAATTTAATAGCAATGATTTGCTTCTGTATATGCTTTGAATAGAAATTTCTACCATGTTCTGCTTTGCATTAGATATTCTATCAAAAAAAAAATAATAATTTAAGGAATTTCTTTGAACAAGAACAAACTAAACCAAAAGCTACCAGAAGGAAGGAATAATAAAGATTAGAGAAACAGAGAATGGAAAAGAGAAAATCAGTGAAACTAAATGTTAGTTCTTCAAAAAGATCAACACAATTGACAAACTTTTAGTTAGATGGAATAAGAAAAAAAGAGTCAAACTACTAAAATCTGAAATGCAGGTAGAGACATCACTTCCAATTCTACAGAAATAAAAAGGATTATAAGAATACTATGAACAATTGTATGCCAAAAAATTGCATAACCTAGATGAAATGGACAAATTTCCAGAAATACAAAATCTACCAAGACTCACAAAGAAATAGAAGAGATTGCGTCAATAACCAAAAATCTCTCAAAAAAGAAAAATCCTACCAAAGATCACACACACACACACACACACACTCATGCACACAAAGCTATTAGCACCAATAACTGAGTAGAGTAGCAGGATATACTATACTAAATATACTAAAGGATATACTGAAATCAGTTGCATTTCTATATATAAACAATAATCTGAAAAGGAAATTCTAAAACCAGTTTCATTTACAAAATAACATCAAAAAGAATAAAATACTTGGGAGTTAATTTAACCAAGGAAGTGAAAGACTTGTGTAATGCAAATGATAAAACATTTCTAAAGAAATTTGAGAAGACATAAATAAATGGAAACATACCCAGTGTTCATGGATTGAAAATTTAATACTGTTAACATGTCAATACTAACCAAAGCCATCTGTAGATTCATTAGCGATCCCTGTCAAAATCCCTATGACATTTTTTGTACAAATAGAAAAATCCATTCAGAAATTCCAATGGAATTTCAAGGGACTCTGAATAGCCAAGACAGTCTTGAAAAAGAATAAAACTGAGATTCACACGTTCTGATTTCAAAACAGTGTGATATTGGCATAAACACACACATACACAACAGTGGAGTGGAGAGCCCAGAGATAAACTTTCACAAATCTGGACAAGTGATTTTTGGCAAGGATGCCAAGACCACTAGGGTAATGACAAATGGTGCTGGGAACATTGAATGTTCACATATGAAAGAATGAAGTTGGGCTCCTGCTGAACACCATTTGTAAAAATTAAATGAAACACCAAGACGTAATATCTTAAACAATAAAATTGATAGAAAAAAACACAGGACAAAAACTTGATGACAATGGACTTGGTATGACTTCTTAGCCATGTCACCAATGCACAAATAACAAAAGAAGAAGTAGATTGGACTTCGTGGAAATTTAAAAATTTTGTGCATCAAAATATACTATCCGTAGAGTAAAAAGGCAACATGCAGAATGGGAGAAAATATTTGCAAACCATGTATCTGCTAAAGGATTAATATCCAGAATAGAGAACTTCTAAAACTCAACACCAACAACAAAATTCAAAAATAGGCAAATGACTTGAATAGACATCTCTCCAAAGAATATATATAGATGGCCAATAAGCACATGAAAAGATGCTCAACATTGCTAATCTTTAGGGAAAACCAAATGAAAACTATGAGATTACATCTCACACCCATTAGGATGTCTCCTGTCAAAAAACTGAAACTGGTGCACTGTGGTTGGAATTATAAAATGGTTCGGGCGCTGTGGAAAACACTATGGCAATTCCTCATAAAATGAAAAGTAATTAACAATATGACCCAGCAGCTCCACTTCCAGGTATGCCGGAATTAAAGAATTAGAGGCAGGTTCTCAAAGACCTGATTGTACATCTGTTTTTATAGCAGAGTTATTCACAACAGTTAAAACATGGAAGCAACCCAAGTGTCCCATCAGCTGATGAGTGGAAAAGTGAAATGTGTATACAAGCAGTAGAATATTATTTCTCCTTAAAAATGATTTTCTGCAATATGCTAGAAGATGGGTGGCTCTTGAGGGCATTATGCTACGTGAAATAAGCCAGATACAAAAAGACAAATACTGTATGATTCCACTTAGATGAAGTACTTAAAGGAGTCAAAATCATAGAGACAGAAAATAGAATGGTGGTTGCCAGGGACCAGGGGGGATGGAGAATGGGAATGGGGAGTTACTGTTTCATGGAGATATGGTTGTAGTTTTTACAAGATTTAAAGTTAAGATAGAGATAGATGGTGGTGATAGTTGCACAAGAGTGTGAATGTATTTAAAACCAACTGACCCACACTTAAAAATGGTTAAGATGGTAAATTTTATGTAATACGTGTTTTACCACGACCACAACAACAAAAAGATTGAACATAGAGGCTAGTTTGTGTAGATGTGCTACAAAAATGGCTTAAATGCAACAGGATTTCTTCCGTAAACAGTATCATCCTTTCAGAGGTAGGTTTTTATTTAATGGTCTTTATTGCTTGCAATCACAATAAAGGTTGGTGGAAAGGAATGAAGCAGTTTCTCCCTGCCAAATCAGTGGAACATGAAGAAACCCCAGTTCGCTACAGCAGCAGCGAAGTTAATCACTTGAGTCCAAGAGAAGTCACCACAGTGCTGCAGACGGACTCTGCAGGTAACTGCTTGCAGCCTTCGCCACAGAGTCAGGGAAGACGCTGCTCTGCTTAGCTGGAAAGTGCTTTGGGATTTATAGTATCTTTTATCTTTCTCATATGTAAGAGATGAGCTCTTTTCTTGAGGTAGAACTACTTTTTAATTTTTTTTTTTTTTAATATTTATTTTTGAGAAAGACAGGAAGACAGAGCATGAGGCAGGGAGGGGCAGAGAGAAAGAGAGACAGGATCCGAAGCAGGCTCCAGGCTCTAAGCTCTCCGCCCAGAGCCCAACAGGGCTCGAACTCACAAACCCCACAAGATCATGACCTGAGCCAAAGTTGGACGCCTAACCCGCTGAGTCAGCCAGGAGCCCCTAGAACTGCTTTTTAAAAAGGTGACCTTGAGAGAATCATTTCTGTGCCTTAGCTGTGAGCATCCGTTTCTACAAGCTCTGGGCATGTTACCTGTTTACCTGGAGTTTTATTTGCGTATTAAGAGCAGGAAGGACATAGCGAGCCTTACAGTATTTATTCTGTTAACATATTTATTTATTTTTCTTTTTAAAAAAGTTTTTTTGTATTTATTTTTGAGAGAGCAAGCCAGCAGGGGAGGGGCAAATAGAGGGAGACAGGATCTGAAGCAGTCTGTGCACACACTGACAGCAGAGAGCCCGATCTGGGGCTGGAACTCATAAACCTGAGATCATGACCTGAGCCAAAGTCAGATGCTTAACCACCTGAGCCACGCAGGCGCCCCGTATTTTAAACAGCGTCATATTTGAAAATATTACTGTAATAATGGAGTGGGTTTTTTTTTTTTTTTCACCAGTGAAATACTGCCTATAAACCTGAAGAGCATATACAGTTTGGTAAAATTTCATGATTGAAGCTCTGTGGCATGTTAACTTCTTTTGAAACATAACGTGTTTAATTTTAATTTTTGAAGTTCTTGTAGAGAAATCCATAGGTCCGTGTTGATAATGAAAGTGCCCTAAAGAAGTGTTTGTTTTTGGTGTAAGACTACTGCTGCCCCCTTAAATTGAACGATCCCTGTATGAATGAGGTGACTTTTCTCTGGTTTGTTCTGTGATACCCCAGAGTATGCACAGCCACTGGTGGGAGGAATTGTTGGCACCCTTCATCAGAGATCTACCTTTAAACCAGAAGAAGGAAAAGAAGCGAGTTATGCTGACTTAGATCCTTACAACTCCCCGGTGCAAGAAGTTTACCACGCCTACGCTGAACCACTGCCAATTACTGGGCCCGAATATGCAACCCCCATCATCATGGATATGTCTGGACACCCCACGGCTTCAGTTGGGCTGACCTCAACGTCTACTTTCAAAGCTGCAGGGAACCAAGCTCCCCCAGTAGTAGGAGCATATAACACTCTCCTCTCCAGGACTGACAGCTGCTCCTCCGCCCGCGCCCAGTATGACACCCCAAAAGGTGGGAAGCCAGGTCCAAGTGCCCCAGACGAACTGGTGTACCAGGTGCCACAGAGCACCCAGGAGGGATCAGGAGCCGGGAGGGATGGTGAATGTGATGTTTTTAAAGAAATTCTTTGAAGGTGATGCTGCTTTTCATAAAGCATCGTTTTAAAGCACATGGCCTTTTTTGTGTGTTAGTGGTAGTAATATATAGAATGTATTACGTATCTGTCACAGATGTGGTTGGGAAAATGTGATGACCGAGGTACAGGGAACTACTAATCTTGCCATCTTGCTTTAAAAGTATTATCGTGGCAGTTACTGCTTGCCTGTTAAATTTCAAACATCCTCTTTGTTACTACTGTAAAACACTATTTTTAATACAGAAAAAGCTCCCTACTATGCACTTCAAAGAAATTTAAGAATCACTGAGAGTATTTATTACCAATGCTGCAGGTACATTGATGAACTCAAGAGATGGCTGTGTAAGCCGGACTGGCAATAACGCACGGTACTGTTCTTGAAATGTCTAATGGCTTGAAATTTTGCTTTGTGAAAGGTGGGTACTATCAGGATTTCTTTCTGTCCTATTTCTATATACCTTACGGTTTTTTGTGGGTTTTTTTCCAAAAATTAGTGCTATAATCATTGTTTTGATGGTAGTCGTCCACTCCTCTTTCCTTTGGAGGATCTATAGGTGGGAAACTGACTTGTAATGGGCAAGGTGATTGATTCTTCACCTTCTGACACCTGAAGAGCTTTAACATTTCATGGTACGTGAGCTGGTTTCAGCCCGGCTTGCTCTGTCTGGGGCCAGCCCTATTCTTGTGTTTTAAAATGTTTGAGTTATTTTAGCGAGTGATGCTTGTTTCATCAACCTCATGAATCCTCTAATTTTACACAGCTGTAACAGATTCTCTCCCTCCAAATTTATCTGCAAAGGGCGAGTTGTGAAAACTTAAGAGCATCTAAGTGAACACCGTAAACGTGACCCCCTTATATTTATTTACCACACTGAAAGGCAAAAATCCTTTCTCAGAAAGGATTTACCTTAAAAAAAAAAATTTGCCCTCTTTGATTTAATATACAGGGATTTTTCTTTGAATCCAAAGGTATTTGGGGTTAGTATTTTTAATGATCCACAGTAAAATACTGAAAGAAATATAAAACCCACATGGATTCCTCAGCTGTGTGTGACTGTGCCCTCATCTGTATGGGGGAAGGTGTGAACAGTCCTTTCCAGCATACCTAGGGAACACAGGCTCTGGCATCCGAACCAGCAAATATTACAGCTTGTTTGTGAAATTTCCAGGCAATTTCTTTGTCACCATTTGCCCAGGAGTAGTTTTAGATGGGTGAAATGAAAAGCATCTGTAATTTACCAGCCTCTAGTGTAAGAACCTTTCAGAGTCTTTGGCAAGAGAAGCTGGCCCTCAGGTTGAAACCTAATTTGGCATCTAGGCTTCTATAAATCCCAGTGTGTAGACTTAATCTTGACATGTAATTTCCCATCAGGATCTACACCTTTCTGTTGGCTCGTGCCACCAGATTGTTTCCAGAATTTGCTAGAGTTGAGGACCGTGTTCATTCTGCTTGCTTCCTGAGGTAGATGAGTATTCTAAAGCATTGCTTCAAAAATCCAACTACGCTGCAGCCTCTCTGCCCTCTGGTCTTATGATTTCTGTTGGTGTCATTTGCTTTTTCAGACAACTTTGCATAATTTCATTCATTGAAAAAAACCAGTTCATATTGTTTCAAATATTTTGAAACAAAAAGCACAGATGTTGAACTTTTTATTAAGACACAAATGTGTAAAGCACATGTATTACTGCAGTTATCCCCTTTCGGGGGGGAAAGAGTAAACCAATTTATTTTTTATTCACCCAATCATAGGCCTGTTCTAGAAGCTTTAAGAGAAACTGTTTCATCTTCCCAAAGATGCTTGTTCTTTTTATTTAATGTTGTGTACGGGATTTTCCCACAGAACTTTGGAGAGGCAAATGTTTTCTTAAATGATGCATGTTTTTTTTGCCACTGTGCTGTGCTTGAACTACCAGTGATTTTTACAAAAGTTTTTACTGCTTTTATAAATATATTTTACTTTCCAAATGAAGAGCTGAGCCTGACTCAAAGAGTTCTGATATTGTACTTTGAGTTCGTTTGTTTTCACATTAGAGTTTTGCTTTTGGGTTTTGTAACCCCATTTCTATGTCTGATACCTATCTATACAGCTTTGGAGACAATCAAGTAACAACTGAAAATGTGAAAGTAACCTTTTTTTTGTTTTTTCAAAATTCCCTTGAATTTTTATTCTTTGCTTGAAACATTTAAAAAAGACACGTAAGTCACTGTTTTTTTGGATGAATTTTTTTCCTGTTAGCACAATCGTCAGACAATGGTACAGCACGTGTGGCCCTTCCAGGTTTCCTAAAATCACACTGACTTCTGACACATGGTCTTCGGAACCAGCACTGTTCAAGATATTGTGAATGCTGATTTGTATTGTATTAAAAGCTGTAACACTAAATAGATCCTCTTGTATATGCGGGGTCTAGTTCAGTTATTTAAATTCATGTTTCACTATTTGCACTTTGCATTGAATGGGTTTATCCGCTGATGAAGTGGTTTGTGTAGAGAATTTATATAGCAGTTGGAATTACGGTGTCATGTATACTCCTGCCCTCTGATGCCCCAGCAGAAAATGCACTCATCTAAACATGAATGTGGCCATAATTCTTTGGAAAGTGAGAAAGCTTGGAACTTCCTTGCCTTGGCTCCACCTGGTCACCTGGAGAGTGAAAGGGCTATGGAAATGCCATGTCAGACGATAAGATGCATTGTGGGCCAAAAACTTGTCACACTCTTTTAAGAGAAATCAGTTAAGCTCTACCTTTAAAAAATTGCCTATTAGTTCTGCCTTTGTGTTCTGAACTTGAAGTCCCTAAACTGCAAAATCAATTAAGAGTTGGATGGTTATTAAAATACTTTCAACTGTGGCACCAATTCTTATTTGCTCCAATTTGTGACTTTTTTTTTTTTTTTTTTTTTTTTTTTTTTTTTTTTTTTTTTGCACTGGGAAAGGTAGAAACCAAACAGAATACTGAAATACATATTGGAAAATAAAAATGGTTTGTCAGTGATTCTCCCAGAATGTACTTTTCTTACCTCGGCATGTACTGTAGTCACTCAGTATTTGTATATGTTGCTAGGATTTAGATTGTATAAATAGTGAAATTTTAATGTGTTCTTGTGTTTTTAATAAATTGTATATATATGTCTTGCTGAGAATTTTCTTCCTTGAGGTTTGTAGCCTTTTCTCATACTACACAAAATGCCAGATCCCTCAATTTTAGCATCAGACTGTACTGCCATTATTTTAGTCCGTACAGTAACATTTGAAAATGCTACCGGTGGTTTTTTACTGTCACTAGAGCCAGCACCATCCTTTTTTGAAGCCTAAATTAGGTTGCAAACTACGGCTGTGTGGTATGAGGGACAGGTCACACTAATACCTGTCTTTTCCACCTCAGAGTGTCCTCCCCCTTATACTCCTCTTAAGTATTTACTCCTGCATCCCCTCTAACAGTTCACCCTTGACAGACTCCAGAGAGACAGGGTGGTCTCCATCGTCTCCCAGTGGTAATTCTTGTTCAAGACAGCAGTTCTTTCAACTCTTTCCCCTCCTGAGAACTTTTAATTCCAGCCCTCCTGTAACTTCTTTTTCCCTCACCCCCATACCCTTCCCTCCCCAAAACGAGAAGGGAAACTAGCTCACCACCTCCGCTGGACTGGTTTTTAACTTGTTTGCATCCAGTGGGATTCTTCTGATGCACCCTAGGAATCCAGATAAGCCTTCCCTTTGAAGATGTGATTTAATCGTGGACAGTTGAGATTTTTCATGAAAATACCATTTAAATCCAAAAACAGCTTGAATCTTCTAAAGGGTTTAACTTACTGTGTCGTCTTCATTTTTCCTAATTTAATTGAAATAGTAAACTTTCAAATTTTAATATATTAAGGCAGAAAATGATGTTTAACAATGGTCTCCTGGAGCTTCTTTGTATAAACTTAAAAATAATGCAGTCACCAGACTTTAGTAATTGTATTCTTAGGCTATTTACTTATCCAGAATTTCATGTTCAGCCTATTTCCTTCACCTTAAAAACAAAAACACCACCTTCCTTCTATGAAATTACTCATTAATAATCCTGGTTTAGTTAAAAGCTTAATGAAACCAGTATGGTCTTAGATTTCCTTGACCATAACCCACTGTTGTGTTCAGGGCTGCTTTTAAGATTAAAATCGGTCTCCTCGGGGACAACAAAAAGGAACTAATCAACCATTTAGACACATGCCTAAAATGGTTCCATTTTGCCATATCAAGGCACAACCACATCTCCATTCCCCACCAATTTACAGTAGACTAGTACACCTCTCAAAATGTGTTCAAAATTTGTTGTGCTAAACTAAATCCCCTACTAAGAAGTCACATCCCTTCAAAAGTCTAACATGAAGTAACTATAAAAAGATGTTTAAAAACACTTCAGAAAACTAGGTTTTAAAAACCATGCATTCAAAACTTATTTCCCTGATAACTAAACATATCCTGGTTTTTATAAATTAAATATATTCACAGAAATTAAGCTGGTGGTTATGACTCACCAGGCGACAACAGACTTTTATGTACACAATTTCTTGACAAGTGCATCCAACATATTTAAAAATAAACTAAAAATTGCAGTATAAAAATAAAACTAATACTGTTAGCATCGTCTTCTGAATCTGTAGAGTCAATCTTCAGTCAAGTTGATTACAAAGTTTTTTTCTATAATGTCCTTCAAAAAGAGCTGCTCCGCTGTCACATTGTGATATGCATTCTAAAGAGGGAAAGTATAATAAAGTCACCACCCCAGTCAAAAAATATTAACAGCAGCAATGGAATGCACAGTATCTAAAAAGTTTCTGAATGAAAAACTCAAGTAGCAAGTATACAGGTAGACTTCTCAGTTACCTTATTCTTTGCTCATTCTTTTGCTACAGCCTTCCCTACAGCCCACTCTTTTCCACTTAAACCATCACGTAAAGCCCCCCCCCCGCCCCATCATTTCCTGTCCTCCTAAAAGGGACTTAAGACTAGA